TCCACATTTTTACCACCGGAAATACCTCACTTGGGTATGCCGGGTAAATTTCATGGAATTTACAGAGGGGAGGGGGAGACTTCAGAGAAATTTTCTCGGAGAAAGGGCATGTGATGATACACGCCCCGGAAATTCCATTTTATTTCGCGGAGCGAAAGGTGCCTCTATAAAAAAAAAGTCGAAAATCGAAAGTTGAAAATCGAAAATTGGAAATCGAAAATCGAAAATCGGAAATCGAAAATCGAAAATCGAAAATCGAAAATCGAAAATTGAAAATTGAAAATTGAAAATTGAAAATCGAAAATCGAAAATTGAAAATTGAAAATCGAAAATCGAAAATCGAAAATCGAAAATTTGAAAATCGACGGCTATTAATTGAAATCATTGAAGTGGATGAAAAAATATTTCTCGGCTTCCGGTTGGAAACTTCAGTTGGCCCGTGGTCAAAGATCATTTGAAACTCACCATGACCACGGGAATCCCGCTATCTCAAATTCCAATAGAGTTATCAGCGATTTCAACGACGCGAGCATATACCGGTCTCAACGAGTCGAAGGACAGAATTGCGTGAAAAAAATGCAATAGCCGGCTTTCACTAATTCCCCAGAAACTCCTTCATCGCTGGATTTTTTCGGAATGATGTAAGCATTACCATTTAGCGCCAACAGGCTAATGACTCTGTAATTATGCCGGTTATTATTGCCTATTAGGTAATCGTAATTGGTGAATTGATGAACAGGGCGTACGTGCCGCTGCAATGAGAATTAAATTCCGTGTTTTTTAATCCGTTTTTAATTCGTTTTTTAATTCGTTTTTCAATTCGTTTTTTAATTCGTTTTTTCTTTCATGCGTTTATCAATTTATTTTGATAAGATTTTTTACTTATGGTATTAAGCTATCGATATGTCTATCGTAATTCGACTATTGCAGAGGTCAAGGAGAATAATTCTATTTCAGACTTGATGATAGAATTCGGCCGTGAAAAAATTACAATAAGTTTAGATAAAAAGATCGGGTCGAACACGTGGAACCGAAGATTGTGTGTTTTCGGGGAATATCTCTGGTGAAAAAATTCGGAGATTATTTGTTTTGCTGATTTTTCAGCTGAATCGATGGAGAAATCAATTTTTCGAGGGAATCATCAATCGGGACTGGAGAAATCAATTTTTCGGGGGAATCATCAATCGGGACTGGAAAAATCAATTTTTCGGGGAATCGTCAATCGGGACTGGAAAAATTCCGAAAATTATAAAACAATCTGGTTTTTATCTGTAATTTTTTCAGATAAATATTGGTATTATTATTCTTACGTAATTGCATGGTCATTAAATGGCTCTCGTTAATTGAACCATGGGGTGAATTTTGATTTTCGTGGTGAGACATGTAAATCTTCTCGATTAAGACAGCGTATGTGACAAGTCGTGCCCCCAAAACCGACCAATGAAAATGCTCAGACTCTTGAATGAAATCAGTGAATCACTCGTTTAATCGAAGAATAAGAGGCTCCGACTGGTGTTTCCCGCGAAACCTGAAATAGGTTTCCACCATAAATTTTTTACCGAACAAATAAGCTATTTGAAAACACCCACGCGACGAAAAATCGTCAAGTGCCTGAACGATGTTTCATACTTTTTATTTTATCCCAGCGAGGCAATTGGCCAAATTTAGGGTGCAGGTCTTCACAGGTCTGCCACGAGGAATTCCGATAGAATTCATCGAAAGAGAAATCTTTTGGGGAATACCAGAGGCTTTTTATTACGGGGAAATAGTGAACCAGACGTTCACCCGAAATCGCAGGTATGAAATTGAAATATATTTTCACGCGAATAATTCTTCTCCCAGATTAATCTCAACAAAATCCGCCTAATGTCAATTAATTCGTCAATTAATATTCTCTGAATTAACCACCATCGAAGAATTATTATAAATATTAAATAAATTACCGAAGCACCTCCGAATTTTTAACTGAATTAATAAATTATCAATGATAATCACCATTAATTGT